AGCTTGCTGAGCATCCTTGAGCTTCCTTATCCGGACAGCAGTGAAGGACCACGTCTCAGTTCGTCCCGTTTTAAAGTTTTGAGGTATACCTGACGAGAAGATGTGCCGTAATTTCCCAAACGCTGCTCAAACGAGTTGAATCCGTCTATTGACCTCTCGGTCGAAGTTGGACTTACCTAGTCGGACTATTTGTCCCAGGTAAACATACTCGTCAACAACTTCCAGCTTAGTGCTCTCAACAACTACCGGCATAGGTGTGACATGGACGTTAAACATGATTTTTGTTTTGTCCATGTTCATCTTAAGACCTATCCGTTGGAAAACACTATTGAGGTCATTGAGCATAGTGCTTAGGTCCTCCAGCGATTCTGCCATAAAGACTATATCGTCGGCAAATCGAAGGTGAGTGATGTACTCGCCATTGATGTTGCTACCGTATCCTTTCCAGTCCAGAAGCTTGAAAACTTCTTCCAATGCGGCGGTGAAGAGTTTCGGGGATATGACGTCACCCTGTCATACACCTCTCTGCAATTGGATAGGTTTCGTACTCTGGTTCTGTACTCGGATAGCCATCGTAGCCCTACTGTACAAGCACTTCAACACTTCAACACTGCAGCACCGCCCAAATTTCGACGGAATCAAAGGCTTTCTCATAGTCCACATATGCCAGACATAGTGGCAAATTGTACTCCTCGGACTATTGTACAATTTGCCGAAGAGTATGTATGTGGTCTATGGTGCTAAAGCCTTTTCGGAAACCGGCTTGTTCGGGAGGCTGGAAGTCGTCAAATCTGCGCGGGAGACGATTCGTAATGACTCTCGAAAACAGCATATAGACACGGCTCAGAAGGGAAATCGGTCTGTAGTTCTTCAAGAGAGCGTTGTCGCCTTTCTTGAAGAACAAGACCACCGCACTTCTGCTCCACGCCTCCGGTGTAATGCCGCCATGGAGGAGAGAATTAAAGAGCTTCTGAAGGACTTCAAGTACTGGTTTTCCACCCACTTTCAGAAGCTCCGCTGTAATTCCATCCTCGCCTGGGGCCTTGTCGTTTATAAGGAGCTGGAGAGCCATTCTAATCTCGCTCAGACTGACGTCCGGGATATCTTCGGAATAGTGTCTAAGGTTATATATTATTTACTAATATACATAAATGTATAGAATTATAAGAAATCACATACCTTAATTCCTCCCTACCCCTTTCCACCATTGGATAATGAGGTGGTTTGGTTGGATTTTCCAGGTATTCAAACAAAACAGTTTACTTTATCTTTCATTGCTTGCTATGCACCAAGGGGAATAATTTGCCAGCGTCTGTTTTGTCTGATTACAATCTGGGTGTTTTCGAGACAAGAGTGACTAGGGTTTCCTTGCGCTAAAACTGTGTGTTAACATCTAGGGCTATCATCTATCACCACTTACTAGCAAGTGAGATTGTAGTTAAGAACTGGCTTAAAACAGAAAATTAAACTTGATTAAAATCAATCATGTATTTTAGCTTAATTAAAATAATGAATTAAGCAACAATAATAATATCCTCCAGACCGAATTTCAGTCACGGCGGCCAGTCTCAACGAACACTAGCCATCGGCGCAGGACAGGCTTATAGTGCCCAAGTGTAAGAAAGTATAGGTGAGCTCCCTATTCCCTCGGTCTCATAGTCCGATGAGATGGTAAACCAACACGACCGTAGAAAGCTCAGGTGCAGGACCAATGGCCTTACATGTTTTCTAAGGCACGGGGGTGAGTCACCACCAACTACCTGACTCCAGGCAGCTACTGAGAATTTCTTGATGGAAAGCTCAAGAACTGATTTTTTTTGACCCGACCCGGGATTGGAACCTAAGACCTCATGATCAGCAGTCGCACTACTACAACCACTACACCAATGAGGCAGGCTATATTGTAAGCAATAATACATGAGATTTTTAAACCTACAACATTATCGAATTTGGTTTCCATCAATAATAAGTAGAATATAAAGAATGGTGTCAATAAAAAAAAGAATGAATGATTATTTTTATTAACAAAAACATTGTTAAAAATAGAACATATCCCTTTCAAATCTTCGAAACTGTTACAACTGTTTACAATATGAGAATGAGTGACATTAATGACATCCAACCTCTGATTAAAATCAATTCTAGAAGAAGAATCAATTTAATATATTATTATATTTTAAAAGAATAATAACACAATGAAGGTTCAGAAATGTAAAGCTCAACACAATTTTAATCAGTACTTATACATCTTAACCATTTGATCTTAAAACAAGTAATAGAGAAAAATAAACTAACAATGATTAAATAGTTTTGTTCTACTTTTTATATCATTCATTAACAAACAGTTTTAAAATGTTACTGGTAATATGAATAAAGCAATTTATTATATAAGTGAAAGTTTTCAGAAGTTCTAATTTATTATAAGGTTTTCTTGTCTTTTTATTTAAACCCTTAAATTGATTTTGTGTGTTTTAAAGGACGTAGTGTTTAAACAGAGACGGTTTTGAGAGATAAGTGCTGTGACAATACGTAACTACCTAAAATTAGCTATCTTTTAGGATCTTATGGATGTTGCGACGATACAGTAATGTAAAGACACGAACAATAATCATTTAAAAAAGTGTAACCGCTCCGGTGAGTATTTTGGTTGTTTTGTTTATGATATTGTTTTCTTAGTTAGAATATGAATAAGTGATATTATTTTTAAACATTAAACTAACTGTCAAAAACTTGGTATTTTACAATGTCCCATAAAATGGACCTTGCCAACTTAAATTATTGACTAGGGTATTGTTTGTGTCCCATATAACCGACATTGCCATTTGGGCCTACTTGTAAATGTTTTTTTGATTGTCCTATAAAACGGACGTCACCAATAAGTTGTCACTTGCAATGTTGTCAAGATTTAATAGTAAAATTCGCAGTAAATCCATATGTGTGACGCCAAAATAAATAGAAATATTCATTGGTATTGTATTTCAATACCAATAAATATTTCTATTTCTTTTGGCGATTGATATTTTAGACTTTCTGGCAGTCTTTCAATACCAATAAATATTTCTATTTCTTTTTGCGATTGGTATTTCAGACTTTCTGGCAGTCTAAGATTACTGGAGTATTGATCCGAAGTATAAGCAGATTGCATCCACCTTGTCACTTAAACAATATAGATCTATTAAACACTACTTCCATTTTTGTAATAATACAAATGTCAACAAAAATTATTGTTACAATAAAATTGCACCAATCATACATTATTTTTGACAGCAGTGCTTGAAGATATAAGAAGAACGGTCATTTGCAATTGACGAAATGATTATACCTTACAAAGGTAAAACGGCTGCAGAAAGCAATCCATCCAAAGAAACCAAATAAATGGGTTTCTATTTTGCGCTGGAATTTCAGGCATGGTGTTTGACTTATTTGCTTATAATGGCACCAATAACTTTCTCTATTTCAATTTTAGCAAATAGGAAGAAGACTTTCTTGGGGTTGGAGGTAAAACAGTTCTCAGGCTATGCAGGACCATTCCCAATCCAATTCTTAGCACAGTATACTTTGGTAACTGGTTTATGTCACTTAAATTTATATATTAGTTGTAATAAGTTGGGCATTTTATCTTTAGGGATTATAGGAAAAAATAGATAGTGAAATTGTAAGGTGATAACTGACAAAGCTATGATGAAAAAGGGGCTAGGAACATTTGAGGTAGTATGTGATAATTCCAAAAGAGTAGCCGTGACAAAGGGAATGGACAGTGGATGTATTTATATAGCAAGTTTGTTTTTTTGTACAATGTGCTCTTGCACTTATGAAAACCTATCAAAATATTAACTTAATGTAATGACTAAAACCATGAATATACATATGTATAAAATGTGAACTAAATGGAAAGACTTTGGTCTAACTGCCAAAAAATTTTGTTACCTTACATATCATAAGGGAAAATAATTTTTTTTTAAATATTGAGAAGTATACTGTTTGAGCCATAAGTTAATTGTTTTGTTGATTTTATTAAAAGCTTCACTATTATTCTGAGTTTCAAAAGACTGATTCTGAATGGTTTCTAATTACTCTGTTTTATAGGACATTAAAAAAAAGTATAAAAATATACATAAAAAAAGTATAAACTTGAAAAATTTTATTAATTTTTTTTTTCTATCCCACTCCAACCCAAAACAGAGATTAGAAGGTAAAATACCCAAAGGTTCTAGGGGTGACCATTTAAGGGTTAACTATATTACTTCAATAAAATCATTTAGTTAATTAATTTGGTTAAGCACTTCCTGCCGCTGGGGAACTATTGAATTTAATGAAAATCTTAACATATCCTCTGTTTTATCATTACAAAAGTTAAATCAAAAACTACTTTTAATTTGGCTTTTGCCTAAGGGCTTAATTTATTTATACCACAAAACCTCTAATAGGTAATAAAGCTAAGGTGCTTGGGATGTTATTGAAATTTAATGTTTTTTGTACACATATAAAAACAAAAAGTAAGCAACCTATCCAAAAATGGCTCAAAAATGTAAATCTGAAAAAAGTAGCCCAAAACATTATTTTAATTAATTGCACTTAAAATATCTAGTTTAAATTATTTTAGAAATGGAATACATACATAGAAACATCGAAGGTAAACAACGAAATGAAGTATGTTATTGTGGTGTTAGTATTTATTGATTATTATTATTTCCGCAGTCAATCTAAATATATACCGTGTAATTAAACAAGTCAATAATCTTTTCAAGCTAGTGATATACAAAACTATCACAAAAGTAGCTTATTACTTATAACTCTATTATTGTAATGATTCCAGGCGGACCGATCAGCTCGACTAATAACGACTACATACGCGTTCTTGATTCTCGTCTATGGAGGTACATGAATCACTCAACATAAGCATAATACCTATACAACAACCTATGAGTCTGACTACGGTAATAAGGAAATCGATCACTAAAGTAGTATCTTTAAATAAAATTACTGTAAAGCTTTATTACCTTATCGCATAACGTTTTCACTTGATTTTCTGTCAGTTGCTTGCATTCGTTTAGCTGTTCAATCCATTGATCCAATTCCTTTAACGACGCCTTATCTTCCATATTTTGGGTTTGTGAAATTAACGTACGAGACGTTAACTTATATTTGTGATAGTTTTAACTTTTTAACGTACACAAAACCATGCGAATTTTGTAATTTACACTGCGCCCAGAAATACTGACTACAGAAGACACAAAATGGCGTAGGTACCACTTGCGTGACGTCAATTTGATTCAAAGAACGGTGTCCCCCCAGCGGAAACTACAGGTACTACAATCCGATGCCATCCTAAAGATGCATTCATTTTAAAACAGTTACAGATGAAGCAAATGTAAAGTGGCACTACGAATAAAGTTTTCTAAAGCAAACAAGAAATAAAGGAAATTTCGAAATCTAAAGATTAAATTAGGACGTGGTAATGAAGAATTACTGCTAACATTTAACTATGTTTTTATAACTGATCCGTTGGGTTGACTCGAAGATATACGTCAAAGAACAGATAATCTTCTTCGTTCCTTTATTTATGGAAAAAATGGATCGCGCGTTTCGCCGATGATGATAAAGTAAAAATTCAAAAAATTAAGAGTGGATTTTTAAAGTTCATATAGGGAATATAGTTAAGCTGTTGTATAACCCGTTAACTGATTTAGTAACCTAAAAGAGGAAACACCACATACTAGTATGAACACTTTACTGGTGTACAATGGTGTTATTGAACTAACAATAGGAACTAAAATGACACCTCGAACAATTAAAAAAACAACTTATGTCATGATATATGTTAGCTAAAATATTGGTAATTTTATTAAAGTATGTTTATCTATTGGAATATGTACACTATAGAGCAAAGTTAAATTTTATCCACTTTCCTCCCCCTCCCGCGTCTTAGTCATCCCCCGCATCTCATAAAGTGTACACGATACATGAATTGTGTACGTACGAAATGATCCTTGATAAATTTGCTATCAACTTTTTATACACTCAAAAGCGATATCACTTATAGTTTCCGCTCAATCTGCCACGAGATATGACCATTTTTTTTAACATTAATAGATTTTTTTAGCTCAAAGTTTAGTTATCTCAAACATTTCCTATTTTACCGCCAAGACATGTATGACTAAAGTAAAGAATAGAATATGCTCTTAAAAAAGATGTATAATATATTTCTAAACTCTTTCATATCACATTGCTAACAAGTAGGATGCTGCTTGTAAAGACTGTGACCTCCGAAGGAGGCGGAGTTATAGCCGAAATAAGAACTTAATTTTTTTTGGTTTTTGACCATTTTGACCCGCTAGGAGTTTAATGAGAACTTTATGCCCCTATTACACCATGACCATCATGACATCCTCTACATAATAGGCTATTCAAACTGACTATGCCTAAAGTTCGAGCCACCACCTAACTCATTTCTAAAGTATTTACTTCCAATTAATTCGGCTATTCACTTAAATTTTATACTGGTGGTATTGATACTGGCTAAGCGCTAAAAATAGCTCTAAAATGTACCCCGAAAAGGAATTAATACGAGGTGAGCACTGTGTCCAAAGTGGTCTGGGGAGATATTATAATGAATTTTCTTGTTTAAATAGATTTCATATAATGAAAGTTACTCTATATATGTACAGGGTCTCTTTCCTGCCTGAGAGAGATTGAAAATAAAACCATACCTTTCTTCGAACTTACGTTTATTTATTCTTAGGTATTTATTAATACAATTGATATTTACATTGAAATATTCTACCTCTACTTTAAAAATGAGCATTAATCTTCTTCGATGTCTAATTGGACTATGTTCACGCAACTCTGGCCTCTACAATTTTTGCACATAGTAGTATATCGTAAATCGGCTTTTACCACCACATTATTTACCACAGCCTACATAAAATACCACGGGCGGCGCACGGCGGCCGCGTTGCAGTAAGTATAAAATATCGGGGGATGCTCAATGGGAGGTGGAGGGAGAGTGAACAAAATTCAACTAAGCAATTTTTCCATTGTTATTGTTCCTAAGTAATTTTGGATGTTGACAAAATCGAATATGTTAGAGTTAATAGGTAAGGAACATTACTAGGCGTAAGACATCTCAGGGAAGAATATCGTAAAGGGAGACAGACAAATAGCTGTATTCAAAAAATAGGTGTTCCAAAGAACCCTCATCTACGCCCCACTCTCGCAAAGAACCATCTTTTTTTCGGAGTTTTTTTTTTAGAAATACAAAATATATACAATATACAAATATACAAAATGAAGTCTAACAACAGATGTAACCAACTGAAATTCAATTAGTTCAAGAAATTCAGTGATAGCATACTCAATAATTATTATTCCCAATGATTTCAAAAGGAAGGATACGACAATCTAAAAATTTTACTTATACCTTCTTCTTACAAGCAAAAGTATCACCATCTGTCATAACACCTACGAAGTACACGAGTGCCGCGCAGCATTAGTCGACGACATAGACTTAGAATATACTGGCGTATAGACCATCATAGGGTGCAAGAGAGAAGAAAATTCCTTATGGTAAAAATGCAAGATAGAAAAGGATTCCAAATCTCATGACTCTGTAACCGATTTTGAATGACAGATCGGCATAATTCAGCACGCAAGAAATAGCTCCTAGATATTTTGTAATTTTTTAAAATGTAATAGTGGTTATTTTTATTAAGTAACTTTTTTCCAAAATGCTTACTTGTTCAGTAAGTGATTGTAGTGTTAATAATAGAAATAATCCTGATAATTGCACATTTCACAGGTAAATTCTCAAGACGTTGTCAATGTTATGATGTGTGTATTTTTGGTTAAAATTTATGTTATGTACTATTTAAAATTTAGAATGTTTTCAATTATTTTCTTAATTTTGATATTTTGCAAAGAAAAAAGTCACGTTGTTGATAATTTGCATGAATTTCATAAATACATTTTTATACGTGGTAGAGCGATGCTGCAGCTATATTAGTAGTATAGTTATAACACGATTGGGTCGGCTCGACCGGAGAAGGACCACGCTTTCACAGAATACTAGCGTAAAATAGCAGCTTAATGCTGTTGTGTTTAGTATGGTGAGTGTAGAGAACCGGAGACCCTTTTTACTGGAAACGAGGCATTTCTTCTTAGTTAGTTCTCACGGGAGACAACGCATCTGCATTTTGATTCGTAATTGAGGATAGATGTAGATGTCTATGGGCCACAACAACCACTTACCATCAGGTGGACTGTGTGCTCGTTTGTCACTCTATCCTATAAAATAAAATACAAAATGTTATACATGTACGCTAGGGATTGACTCAACTATATCAAAATTAATGTCGATATTTATCTTGAATGTTTATAATGAATCGATAGACTTGCCTACACAACAAGAAAATAAATCCTCGGCTTGCGTTCTAATATGTTATTTTAGAACACAAGCCGAGTTAATGTCATTTGTCAAACAGATTCCCTTCGGATTCTATAATTAGAAAAAATGGTTCAGGTTCATTGGACGGGTTGGTTGTAACTTGTAATGCAAAGAAGAACTCAACAATTTGCAGCAAACGTTATCTTGAGAAGTATAAAAGAAAAAGTAGAATAAAAATAATTTTATTAAAAGAAGTCATTTCTAAATTATTTGTACCAGTAAGTAAAATATTGTTATAATAATACATCAAAATTTAACTTTCAAAACTTGAGATAAATATAGATGAAGGTTGAAATTTAGAATCGTTTGGCATGAGGGGGGAGCAAGTGGTAAGGGGAGAGGAGGGGTGAGCGTCCCCTTATTCCCGACACCACTCTCATTAAAAGGTAATACACTGTCCTTGAGAAAAATCAAAAAGAAAATCCCATAGACCTAATCTCAAAAAGGTAATATTTATCGTCTCCAGCATGACGGGGGAAAAGTTGAGCAGGAGTGTGCCCTATCAGGGAAAGCCTCTCTATCCTTTCCTCCTTGCGAAAAAGTATAGTTTATGAGTAATGGGTTTTTGTAAAATCATAACCTCACTTTTTTACACAGGAATATTGACCCAAGGTTACTTCTACAACAGCTTCGGCGCAGCAAGGAGTACAGCCCCTTCGCCATTGCGTAGCGTAACCTTACGTTCCGTGCCTATGGCTTTACAAAAACACTCTAGGAGTAGGGCAGACAAGACTACGTGGTGTCGGGGCGTGCTAATTCAATTTTAGTACAGATTTGATCAGATCAGATATCTTATCTATAAAGCCCGGTTGCCTTCGCTCCCGACACATACTTCTAACCTATTACAACTGAAAGTAAGTAAAAGTAAAGTAAAATATACTTTATTGTACACCAAGAAGAATATAACAAAATTTATATATTTAAAGAGACATTGGTACAACAGGCGGCCTTATCGCTAAAACAGCGATCTCTTCCAGGCAACCTTAGGGCAGAGGATACTATTTTTAAAAGATAGCGGAAGGGGTGTACAGAATATAATATACAAAGATAAATAGAAGAACAGAAAAAAAAAGTGAATGACAACAGGTAGTAACTTAAGAGGAAAGGTAATAAAGTTTTAATTTATTTTTAAATATAGGAAGAGATTTAGATTCTTTAATATGTAAGGGGAGAGAATTCCATAGTCGTATAGCGTTAACCGTAAAATAATTAGAATAGAAGGAAGAGGAATATCTAGGAGTACTTAGAAGGAGATTATTTTGAGATCGTAGAGGTAAAAAGTGTAAACTACTTAAATATATTGTTACGAGCTTGGGGTTCGAGATAATTAAAACTGCCGAGTGAATTACCAAAATTGACTATTTAATTACACAACACTAATTACAATCTAAAACCACACTAATAATAAAACACAATCACTTTAGTTCGCAGTTATTTTGCTTCGAAGTATTCTCTTGTATCGCCAATTCAATACTGTCCTGGTCGTGGTCTATACCGGCCTTATATAGGGCCTCAGATAGTTTCCAGAACCTTTTACTGTAACGACATCTAGAAATTTCTGGAAGGATCTCGACTCTCCTAGTTCTGCTACTCGAAACTAGAGGGCGTTAGTGTAATTAGTGTTGCCATGTACAAGACATTAATAGTGGCGCGCAACAC